ATGCAGAATGAAGTCATTGTGATAAGTGTGCACTGGAAAATATAACCTTCATGTGTCCAACCAACGAATCAATGTATAAGCATTTTTACATCCCATATGTTGAAAAGCTTTAACCTTCCAGGTTTATCTTTCAAATGAAAAGCAGGGATTTAAGACTTCAACATGGGGATTACTATTGAGAAGAATGATTTAAAAACTGGCAAAGATAATATGATGTTATAGGAGAATTGCTCATCCAGAACAAGCATGATGTTCAATTTTCATCCAACAGAACAAACTTAGTTCAGTTAAACTTTAATTCAATTCAAGTTCACACATGACAGGCTAAATTTCTGGTAGCACACAATTAGTAAAGTAACCCATTTTAATATAACACTGAGAAGGCTAGGAGTTGAAAGAAAATCAAGCCTGCAACACTCTTAATGTATCACAAAAGACATGATGGATTGGTATAATCATCAATTCACGGAAAACAAATATATTACCTCTAAGTTGTATATGCCGATTTTCACATCAAATGAGGATGCTGCAACAACACCTGGTATTTTTCGATACCAGTGAATGTCGAAGTTACCGTTTGAGCTTGCTGGTAGCTCACTCATAATCTGTAATAAATAATGCAATGTACAGGATACACGTGTTAAATAACAGTATTGGTGAAACAATATATTTATGTAGTTTCAGCTTTTGAGAATGTTACTGTCATAATGTACCTCTCCACTAACAGTATCCCAGCATATTGTTCTATTATCTTTAGAACAGGTAAGCAAGTATGAACTATCATAGGGGCACCACGACATAGCAATTACACCTGCAAAATATAAAAGAAGACAAATAAGAATGGAGTATATTTGCGTGCATCATTATGTATTTGACGAAAAATATTAGGAGAAGAGCAAGGGAAATAAGACCTTTTGAGTGTCCCACAAATTCTCTTACTGGTGAAATGGTTTTCCTCACATCCCAAACCTAACATGAGCAAGATTATCAATATAAATAAAATAAATTCCGAAAAACAAAATTCTGGTGTAAGTCAATATGAACGACTAGTGGTTTAGAAACAATTTTTTTGTCCTAATTTGTTTCATTTATTCTAAGCTGTGAAGCACATATGGATAAGTCAAGTAGATGAGGAAAGGATGAAAGTTGAGAGAAATGGTAATTACTCTCAAAGATGGAGAGTTATCATCATCTGATGCAACAATTAGCTGGGTGGACATGTCAGGGTTCCATTGAAGAACAGAGCATTTCGTTCTGTTTGAATCTGAAAAGCTATTTAAAAAAGCGAGAGAAATTTAGTGTCAGAAATAGGTGAATACATCAGTATTTCACAAGGAATAGATCAAGAAAGTGCAAAAGTAATGTGGATGGCTAAAGCAATTACCTAGTCAACGGTTTTTGGTTTCTTAAATCCCAAACAACTGCAGAATGATAAATTCAAAACAGTTAGATAAACCTATGAGAAGTCCGATTTATGGTAACAGACAGAAAATGCACCAGAGGAAACCCAAAACTTCTGTTACCTGTCATCCCATTACTGGAAGCGGTTGCTAGAATATGCTGAAACTTCGGGTTCCAGGTTAAATAAGATATTTCAGCTTGAGCACTGGAGCCAACACTCTGTTTACAATTTACAAGAATTATTAACCTTCATATGTCAAGTGAATAAACAAAATAACACCTAAAGATAGAATACTCATATGGAAATAAGTTATATACAACTTGCTGGTAATCGTTTGCTAGCAGTGCTCTCCATCCAAAATTTTCAGTACAGTTTTAGAACTATATAATAATGGACAGTTCACCACACACAAGTACATCCATAACTAACTTGCTGGCAGATCATGAAGAATAAATTTACTCCTTATACATTCTAGATGCGCTGAGCTTTCTTTTCATTGTTTCGTTTTGGATCATTAACTAATGCGAACACGAATACCAACACCCACACACTGACCCACATAAATGAAATGCATTCAGGTACTATCTGTTGCAGCAAAAAAAACACTAAAAAATTTGTAGAAAGATGTGTTTGATTTTCATAGAGAGTTTGCCAACAGAAGTGACATATCAATAAGTTGTTTTAAAGCCTTCCATCAGGCAGCATTGGCAGCTTGTATTACTGAATGTGAGTTGAGAATGAGAATTGCACCTACCAAAATACTACATCATGGTTCAGAAGTGGCTCGATAAATGTAATGCACAGATGTACACTATCATAATCCTCTTCGTGACAATAAACTACATGGCAAACTGCAGATACCTTGAGTGGCGGAAACACGACTGGCTCGGAGGGGTTCTTGAGATCCCAGATGCAAAGCTCCCCCTGTTCAGCCCCTGAGGCGAGCCGATTCGGTGTGAGCTCGCTAAACTCCAGTCCGCAAACCTGCCAAACCATAACAACACAATCAACATCAGGAAAGCTGGTACGAGATTCCGCGCAGCTAGCCCCGTGCCACTCACCGGCCCGGTGTGCTTCTCGAGCCTCGCAACCAAGGCATCCTCCGCTTTCCCCTCGGAGCTGCAACAGCAAACAATTCGATCAGGAAAGGAGCAGATCTCGAGGTGAGGATGGGCGTGGGGGAGGCGGATCCATACTTGATCATGCTCAGCGGATTCCACACGGCGACGGAGCCGTCGCTGAGGCCACCGGCGAGGAGGCCGAGGGAGAAGGAGTCGCCGTCAGCGGCGCCGGGGCGGGACCAGGAGAGGCGGTTGAAGCGGTCGGGGGAAGGGGCGGAGGCGAGGAGGGGGAGGTCGGGCGAGTCGGACTGGAAGTCGAGGCGGAAGATCTCGATGTTGGCCGACGCGGAGAAGAGCATGTCGACGGCGCCGCTCATGGTGCCGGCGGCGAGGTAGGGCGCCTCCGGCGCCAGCGCCGTCAGCGCCGCCCTCTGCGCGCTCTTGATGCACGCCATCTCCGCCGGCGAGACCCCGCAGATCTGGGCACGCGCGCCCCCTCCCCTCTCGCCGCTACGCGGAATCTTTTTTTGGCGATCTGGAAACGGGAGAGAGAGAGAGAGGGAAGGGAGGAAGGAGATCGAAGGAGCGGTGGTGGTGGTGGTGGTGGTGGTGCGGCGCGCGTGGGTTAAACGCCGATCGGCTCGTGTTGTGCTTGTGCTTGCGCTAGGGCCGATCTGGTCTGGTCTGTCTGGTGCGGATCTGATCGGAAGGGGGGGGGGGGGGTGTGGAAGGACGTGGCTGCGTCATTCGATCGATCTCGGCCGTTGGTTTGCGATCGCTCGCGTGGTGTGGACGCTGTTTTGGAGCGGTGCAAAGGATTTGGCTGCGTCATTCGATCGATCTCGGCCGTTGATTTGCTAGTGCTCGCGTGGTGCGGGAAGCACTTGGGCGTCGCTCGAGCGATCTCGGCCGTTGATTTGCTGCGCTGTTGGATTTGAAACGGCGTTTAACACAGCTCTAGCTTCAGCCCCGTTTAGCACAGCTCCAGCTCCCAACTCTAACTTACCTGGAGCTGGAGTTGTGCCCAACAGTCCAAATCCTCCGTTTTTTGGACCGGAATTGGCAGAGCTGCTCCAAAAAATTGTACTAGGGGGTGGAGCTGGGTTTTTGCTGCTCCATAGCTCCACTCCACCCCAAAGGACCCACTACTTTTTAATTTTTTTAGTGTATTTACACAAAAATGCCAATGAACTACCCCTACCCACCTCCTCTCCTCCAGTTATCTCTCATCCTCAACCATCCTCCCGGAGGCCCAAGTCCCAACCTGTGGCGGCGTCGGCGGTGACGGCAGCAGCGACGGCAGCAAGGCGGCGAGCACGGGGACAAGGCGCAAGAGGCGGCCGGCCGGCGGGCAGCGAGCGCGACAATGAGGCGCGAGAGGTGGCCAGCCGGCGGTGGGCGGCGCGCGCGGCGACGACGTGCAGCCGGCAGCGAACGGCGCAGCTGGGATTGGGCTGCCGGCCGGCTAGGGTTCCCCTTTTTTTTCAATTTTTTTTCATTTTTTTTCCGATCTATAGCTGAAATCTAGCCAAACACTTCTCAACGATTCTCTAACTCCAACAGGAGTTAGCTCCCACTGGAGTAGGAGTTGGAGTTTAGAGCCCTACCAAACGGGGCCGAATCATCTCCACCTCTCCTTAGCTAGAAACCAACAAAACAGTTTCAGCTCCATCTAAAATATAAAGTGGGGCTGGTTGAGGTGCTCTTACCGGATGAAAGAGGTGGAACTGAGTTTAGACGGTTCCACAAGTCCACTCCAGATTCAACTTCTAGAGTTAAATTTAAGAGTTTGAGCCATACGAAACGGCCCTGAAGAAAACCGCATTACCTACAAATATTTTTACAAAAGAAATGTTTATCTTGGAACCAAATGCTTTGTCTTAGACTCCGTTCGTTCTCTCGATTTGGAGAGATATTTTCAGCGCACGAGAAAATTAACTAAATACTATTAACTATTATAAAATTGAAAAATCGATTTATTTGAGTTTTTAAACAATTTATTACATAGAAACATTTTTTTGAAAATATAACATTTAACAGATTAAAAAACGTGGTAATAAAAAACGAAGAAATTGAAGTTTGTAGTTGAGAAAGACCAGAGCAAAATAGGACACAGAGGCCCTTGACGATTTACCAGAGCGAAATGGAGAACTCAAAGCCCAAATCAAAGCAACATTAAGGCTGTCCAGCCCGGGGATGGGCCCTATACGATTTCAGCCCATTATATGATCGTCGGTCGCAGCAGCTAATGGGCCTCCATCCGGCACCTTCCCGTTGTCCGCCTGCAACGTTTTTGCACTAATTTCGCTGAAACCCGAGTTCCGAGACGCTCACAGGTAGTAGGGTACTCTACTCCGTACCGATCCCGCCGGCTGCACGACGCCGACCCGACACACCACCGTGTCAAGCCGCCCGCGCGACACATCCTCCCGGCGCCGCCCGTGCCGCGCGCATGCAAAGACGAACGCCGCGACGCGACGCGTGCCGAATGCCGTGGCGCGACGCGACGCGCCCAATAAATAGCAGGTCTCGGCTCTGCTGGTCATGGCTGGCTGCCGGCGACCGACGACCGAGATGGGGGAAGTGTGCAAGCGAGTGGCGCCGAGCGTGCGGGAGGAGGAGGAGGAGGAGGAGAATGGCGACGGCGGCGGCGTCGACCCGGCAGCGGAGTCGTCGTCGGCGAAGCTGTACGAGGACGTGCCGGAGATGCCGCTGATGGCGCTGAACCACATCTCCCGCCTCTGCAAGTCCATCGACGCCTCCGTCCGCTTCTACGTCAAGGCCCTCGGCTTCGTCCTCATCCACCGCCCTCCCGCTCTCGACTTCAACGGCGCCTGGTAATCGTCAAAACTCCATTACTCAACTCTCGTACGTGCACTGCACGGTGCACGCGCGTAATCTTACAGGCATCCATCGATCGATGCTATAGGCTTTTCAACTACGGAGTTGGGATCCATCTCGTCCAGAGAGACGACGCGAGGAGAGCGCCCGACGTCAACCCCGGGGACCTCGACCCCATGGACAACCACATCTCCTTCCAAGTACGTACGTTCGTACACATTTCTAACAGCACGATGCAGGTATTGTACCATGCTTGCACGAATTAATGTGACAGCTGCGAGATCGATCGAATCGGTGGTTGTGTGTGCATCACTACGAATTAATTAATGCCAAAACCTATTTTTGCATGCAGTGCGAGGACATGGGGATGATGGAGAAGAGGCTGAACGAGATGGGGATCGAGTACATGAAGCGGACCATCAACGAGGAGGAGGGCTCGCCCATCGACCAGCTCTTCTTCAAGGACCCCGACGGCTTCATGATCGAGATCTGCAACTGCGAGAACCTCGAGCTCGTCCCCGCTGGCGCCCTCGGCCGCCTCAGGCTGCCCCGAGACCGCCACAACCCGCCGCTCCGGATGGCCGCCGCCGGCAACGACGAGGCGTGAGAAAAACGTACATCCAAGTGTACGTAGTTAGTAAAATTAAGTAGCTGTCAGGTCTGAGTACGCGAGGTTGGCTGGTTGACCGGCCGGCCCGGCGAAATTTCGGTTAGCTGGTTGCGTCGTTGCAAGCTTGAGTTTGCGTATGCTATTACTTTCGTTCGTTGAATTTACAGCGACTTGTGGTCAGCGAGGATTGAGCTTGATCAGATTGGCTACTACGATCGTTCTCCTGTTCTTTGTTCAGTTCGTGTCGATTAATTTCTACGATCGAATTCGACGGCATCTGCTTAACGAGTCGTGCATCTTGTAAAATGGATGAAATTAATTCCGCTAGGAGCACTGGTAAGTTATGGATTGTTTCGGGCGGAGTGGTAGATCCTGGAAGATCGATCAACTATGAGCACTGGTCTCATCACTGAAACCTGAACTGGTAGGTTCTAATTTCATGGGTGGATAACTGGATACGGATGCTTCAAGTGCACTGTGCACCTGTGATTTCCTCTTATGTAATCTGGGAAAAAAAATCCTCTTTTTTTTTTGCGGGGAAAAAAATCTTCTCGCAGTTTGAACTATGGAATTGGACCATTGCACTTCGTAGCGCCCCTCGTGCCTTCCTCGCCCCAAAGTAGTCCCAACGTGGCATACATGATACTACATCTGTATCAGCAATGGTGTTTTTAGTTATATGTTAAAAGGGAATTTTTAGGTGTCACATCGATCGAACGTTTGACCGGATGTAGGAAGGGGTTTTTAGACACGAATGAAAAAACTAATTTCAAAACTCGCCTAGAAACCGCAAGACGAATCTTTTGAGACTAATTAAGCTTTTTGAGACTAATTAAGCTGTCATTAGTACAGGTGGGTTACTGTAGTACTTATGGCTAATCACGGACTAATTAGGCTTAAAAGATTCGTCTCGCGATTTTTCCCATAACTGTGCAATTAGTTTATCTTTTTATCTATATTTAATGCTTCATGCATGTGTTCGAAAATTCGATGTGATGTTTTTGGAAAAAAAAATTTGGGGAACTAAACGGGCCCTGAACATAGCAAAGACGTCTCATTGGCGCGGCAGGCGGTTGGCCTACAACTAAACCAAAAGCTTGAAACAATAGCGATTTAGCCGGTATATATGTCTTTTGTAATTGAATGCTGTTGTGTTCCCTCTCTCTTTTTTTTTTAAAAAAAAAACAGAATTCAAGTGGCGCAGCCCAACAAAGGAAGGCCACAAACACAGAACCTCCTCCGATGGGCCGCCCGCTCCCGCCAATGCAACGCCGCATCTGCTCCCCAGTTACCCGCCCAATGCCACCGCCGTCGCGGTCTCACGGATGCGGCCGCATATCGTGCGTCCCCCCACCACCGCCGCGTCGCTGTCTTCACGTCGCTACGTCGATCAGTCAGCGACGGCACACGGGCGCCTCGGCGCGACTCCGAAGAAGCGGGCGGCGATCATCACGGGGATGGCGCGCGCGCCTCGCGGGTGAGAGGCTGAGAGCGGCGTCGGCGCCATCGACCGCTTCGACGCCTCAACCGTCGGCACCGGCTCCAATGTGGCAAAGGCCTAAGGTGGACATCACGCAAACTCGGCTGATCACGCGCCAACGTACAATGCTGCTAACTTCTCCTAAAAGCTTTATTACCATAGTCTGGTACTCTGTTTTGGCTTATCAACCCGCAGGCAAACTTAAATTTTAGAAATTAAATCCAGATTTTTATTTTAGGTTTTTTTTTCATCAGAATCTATTTTTAGTCTTTAGTCTTTTAAACTGTTAAAATTTTGTCCATAAATTAATTTTAATTGTTATTAAATTGTATTAGTAGTTTCGATCCCCGCTGGAGTAAAAGGCGAAAAACGATTTAAGTGATTCGTTTTTTGTCCTTGGGAAAAAGAAAACTAATTCTTAACCTCTTTCATATGCTCATGTATTGTCGAGGTACTGTAAAAGGAAAACTCATAAAATCCCATTTGATGAGAGATGATGGAATAGCTACTGCCCCCATTTATCTTCTACTGCATCCGGTTTAGAACGTTATGCAGCATACGAATGTAAGATCATTGAAGAGATATTTCCTTTTTGTAACGAAATTCTGTTGAGCCAATATTTCAGTTGCTAGATACATGTCTGTTGCCAGTCAATGAAAGCAGCATAGGGCATTGCCTTGGCACACAGCATGCGGTTTAGAAGCCATTGCAAAATTGCAATCATCAAAGCGACAACCACCGGATGGGTGCATCTAACCATAAAACAGTTCGTAAGTATACAACTCCAAAAGAAAGCGTGGCATCGATACCCACTCGGTCTGTCCCTTTTGTGCTCAGGAGCTTGAGAAGACGAACCACATCCTTCTCGACTGTGTGTTCGCTCAACAGGCCTGACTCCGTGTGCTGTCGCCTTTTGGTTGGACTGCCCTCTCTCCATCCCGTGGCAGCTGGCTCCAGGACTGATGGCCATCTTCTAGGGCATGCTTACCTGAGCATCTCCGTGCTGGCTTCGACTCCCTGGTCCTCCTGGTCCCTTGGCAGCTGTGGACGGAACGGAACTCCGGGGTTTTTGACTCTGCACTCTTTTCGGTCTCAGTGATTCTAGAGTCCATCTCAAGAGTCATATATGGTCGTTAGCTGGCATTGCTACTTTTGGGGTTTTCTTGGGAGGGTAGTGTGGTTGCCCCCTTCCTGCTAATTGGAGTTGCGTAGTCTCTTCCTTTTCCGCGGTTTTTGTTTTTGTTTTTTCTCCTTCCCTTGGCATAAGTTAATATGACTGATTGCGGTGTGTATAAAACACTCTTTTCTTCAAATATATTGACGTGCAATCTTTTGCGCGTTCGCGAAAAAACTCCAAAAGGAGGTTAGCAATTGCTATATATTAGTAATAGTACCAAAGAGTACATGTGCTTTCTTGCTAACTATGATCACATAAAAGAAAACTTTAATTTCCACTAATAATGTAGGTAATTCACCTAGCAAAAGAGATACTCCCTCCATTTTCAATTGGCCATCATATAAATTTTCGAGGCTATTTCCAAATAATCATCAGAAATAATTCCCGAATAATCATCATATTAGTACATATTCTCTAAGTCTTTTTATTATCTAAGAGTAAATGGATGTTGGTGCATGCATCCATACACACAATATGCAATGTTTTGATTTATTATTGGATTGAAAATAGTGGAGATAGTGCATGCATCGAGTTCGTTACCGAAGTAAATATAGTACGAAAAAGTTATTGGGTTTTCTTGATCTCTATGTACTCATGTAATATGATAATTAATTGAAGAAACGCCTAAGGATTTTCCGGCTAGCTCTACAAGGTGGTGGGCTAGACGATCTTGGTTCGAAGCCCCACCCCTTCTAATTATTTGATATGACAACCTGAGTTTGAAGCCTCACCCCTTCTAATTATCTGATATTAGATTCTTTCCTAATATTCGTGTATTTTTTTAAATAAATTGGGAATGGAGGGATAAACCTTAACTATTCTACTACCCAATGATTAATGCATACAAGATACAAAATGTAACCTCTTCTAACTCAGTAACTGCCACCCAAACAGACAACAGCCAGTTGGATCCCATGCTCTCTTTTCGAAAGAAGCTACTATATTGTCCCATTCGCTCAACCACATGGCAAATTGAGTTTCCTGATGTTTGGCCGGCCAATCACCTGTGCCATTTGTTTGCTGTTGTCTTCCAAATCATTGGCCTAACTCTACTACCTCGTGCCTCAGAAAAGATGCTGATGCTGCTAACCACCAAAAGGTTCAGACTGAGGGTATTTCCATTTTGTCAGTGGTTCGAACAGACAATCAGAGAAAGCAATACAAGTACAGTATGAAAGTTGTACCTCGTGGGTATAAAACAGAAAGGCCTTCCGTTACAACAGAAGATTAGTGATCCATCCTACCTCTAGAAAGCAGATTTCTAGAAGATAACAAACAATACAACTGTATCATGTAGATCTCTGCCACACACAAGCGAAAATGATGAACTGCGCAAAGTGTCATGAAAAAAAAAATCAGCTCAAGATAGTGCCACTTGCGATATGGAGCAAACTGCAGAATCGTTGGGTCTCGATCGAAGCGTGCGTGTGAGTTGTGACTGCGGTGGTGGCTGTGGTGGCTGGACACGTTTGGTCTTCGATGTAGACTTGCTGCAAATGATGGGCTCGTAGATGATACCCGGTTATTAGTGGTTGCTGGTATGACTGTACATGTATGGCTTCTTTCCAACAGAATATCATTAGCCATTACGGTGGAAAATGACCCAAGGACGGATCTGCCCATTAGACAGGGTGAGTCGACCGACACAGCTACGACCCGTGTCGTCCCACATCCCTAAGATCTCCTACCTCCTTATAGTATTTATTGGCCATCAAAATTAGGTATAATAAGGTGTGAGCGTCTAACAAATTAGTCCGTCTTTTCACAACTCACGCACGTCACAAACAATAACCAAGGCAGTTATGAGATTGAGCTATAAATACGATATGTGTTGTGTTCGGTTCGTCTTATCGACTAAATATCTCCGTTCTCCGCCCTTTATTTTAAAGTTGCGTCCGTCAATCTCAAAAGGTAGCTAGCTGCATGTCCCCCAAAGGCCCCAAATAATAGCCACAGCTAAATGCTTATCTCAAGCACAGTACTCAAAGTGCTCTAGTCCAATTTTCCGGAGTCAAACTTGTAATGTTATTGTTATCTGCTTTTCTGAGAAAAGAAAACAACTTTTTAACATTATCGCTAGTTAGGTTAGTGGTTGTCTTAGAGCTAAGGTTAGGAGAATATATGCCTTTATCCCTAGCCAGGCTAGCCATATTCTTTCCAGTCCAGCTGAGGATCTGCATACAAAATGACCTTACTATATAATACAAACAGATCACGGGTCTAAAGTTTAAATCAGGAATGATCAAATTAATGAATACATCTCTTTCTCACCTGCACCTGCTGCACAGTTCATTCTTTATACATGTCTTCGGTTGCACACATACAACAAAGCTTCACTTCCAAGCTTAAATTCGACATGTGCTACATGCATACGAACGAACTTTTAGTTAGTCAGTGCTTCACTTTCTTCTTATATATAAAACGTCGGCAACGACCAACCGTTCGGAAAAAAAAAAGTTAGTCAGTGCTTGGTAAAAAGGACGTATATACATAGTATAAGAATCGCGTTTTTGGACAAAGGATCTCATCTTAGTCATCTCTAAAAGATCGCCGGTTTCACGCTGGATCGATCGGCCGGCGGCTAGCGCACCATTGCAGGCTAAGGCGGCAGTGCGTGCGTGATGATGCGGACGACGGCCGGTCTCCACTTTCGCCTCCACGTATGGACGGTAGCTGGCGCCCACTATTTGGGTCGTCGTCGTCGTCGTCGACGTCGTCGACGACGACCGCGGCCGGCCGGATTCGGACGCCGGTTGTGGCCACAAGGCCGCCGGCATAAGGAAGACAGGAATGTTCTGCGTCGTGTTGCTTGCGCCTCTGCCTGCGTGACTCACGGGCTTCGCTGGCTGCCATGTTAATCAGTACTCTAGCTAATGCTATCTTTATATCCCAACCTAAAATTTTTCATGTCATATTGAATGTTTAACACCCATATAAAGTATTAAATATAGGCTAAAAAATAACTAAGATTACGACTAATTTACGAGACGAATCTTTAAAGCTTAATTGCTCCATGATTTAACAATGTGGTGCTACAGCAAACATTTGCTAATAACGGATTAATTAGGCTTAATAAATACGTCTCGTGGTTTACCGACGGATTCTATAATTAGTTTTTTTATTAGTGCCCGAACACCTCATACGACACCCTATATAATATCCGATGTGACACGCTAAAATTTATACACATAGATCTAAACACCCCCTAAGATCTACAGACTGATTGATGAAGCTTCCCGCTGGTTTTACCTCACACCGAGAGCTGTCTTTTTGTCAGATCGACTCACATGTATTTTTGTCAGGCTAAGTGACTGATAAAGAACCGTTCAGTTTTCTAGTTAGGCCGTGTTTAGTTCATTGTCAATTTTTTTTACGTATACGGACACACATTTAAAGTATTAAAAATAGACTAATAACAAAATAAATTACAGATTCCGTCTGTAAACTGCGAGACGAATCTTTTGAACCTAATTAATCCACCATTAGCACATGTGGGTACTGTAGCGCTTATAACTAATTATGACGTAATTAGGCTCAAAAGATTCATCTCGCGATTTACAGTCGGACTGTGTAATTAGTTTTTCTTTTTTGTCTACATTTGATGCTCCATATATGTGTCCAAACATTTGATATGACGAAAAGTTAAAAGTTTGAAGAAAAGTTGGAATGTAACACAGCCTTAGAAGTTGTTTCTTTAATGGAAAGTGTAATTCACCAAATCGAAATTCTCTATAGTACCGATCATTGATATGTAGGTCCGAGGATCTATGGAGCCCACGTGTCAGTCAATAATACCGCAGAGGATATGTATTTCTACGTGCTTTACTAGTTTGTACTCCACTAGTTTGGACTTCAAAGTTTCACGTGTGATTCAACAATTTTGCGTAAGCTAGTGGATAATAGATATATTCATGTTGGTTTAGAATTCGATGGGAAACATTTTAGAAGGCTTCGGGTGCAGAGGCCGGATTTAATCCATCTTTTTTCTTTTAAAAAAAGGACAATAGATATATTCAGAAATTAATTAGAGGATTGGAATTAAGCCATGTTAGAATTTGATGTGACTGCGGATTGTGACGCAGTTTGGATTGGATCAAGCAAATTTTAAGCATCCAGGTGTACAGACTAGAACTGTTAAGTCCACCCCCTATCAATGTTCAAGTACTGCTCGAGTCTCGACCGTGCCCGCCACAAGGCTGTTGCGACTTTGGTTTCGGTGAAGTCGTCGCTGAACGATGTACCTTCTTTTTCCCCAATGTCTTAATAATACTCCGTATTCGATTGGTATGGTGGTGCCGATCCGACGTCGAAAAAGTACTGTTTGACTGCTTTCGATTAAATTTATTTGACGTTGGGGTACTGGATTCGAAATTGATATTGGTGTCCACCAAATTCAGAAGTACATGTATATGACATATGCTCAATTTACGCGGAGTGATCATTAGGAGGATATGTATAATGTTTCCTCAATTCTCGTTATATAATGTCCGCCCTCACCCCCACGGTGCACGCGTCTGCATGCCCACTCCCCGCTTCCGCTCTTCCGCCACTTCCTCCGCTGCCACGGCGTTCGCCCCAACCGCTTCACCTTCCTTCTCCTGCTCACTTCCATGTCCTCCCTCGGTGACCTGAGGCCTAGATGACGGAGGAGGCTGATGGGAGAGGCGAGATGGACGGGATCTGGACTTTCTGGTGGAGTTGTTGAGATCGACGGGATCTATGGCCAGACTGATTTGCTTGATTTGATTTTTTTGGGATTTGATCTGGTGGATTTTTTTCCATGAATCATGCTCTACTTGCTACTTGTTGGTGGCATCATCATATTTTAGTCCTTCATCCTAGTTGCTTTTTCATTGATCTTGTACGGAGTACTTAATTTTTTTTTTTGCAATTATTTTTTGTGTTGAGTTCGTTTATCGCCGAATCGAATCAAACTAACCAAAGACCGAAGTGCTCGGTCTTGAGTTTTCTTGAAGACTGATCGGTCTTGTGATCCTAAAGACTGAATTTTTCAAAAGACCGATGAACCAAACCGAATTTTCGGTTAGACCGAATGCGCACCCCTACTCGTCTCATTGAGGAGGAGGAAGCATGGAGGGAGAGGTAAATGGAGCAGAGGGGAAGCCAACGTCTTGCTACGGAAGAAATGGGTAGGGGGCTATACGGTCATTCGTCGAGGAGTACGAGGTGGCATGATGCCACGCAACAGAGGGAAGTGACGAATCTATTGCTCCATCCGTCCCAAAATATAAGTATTTTGGACTTTGACACTGTCTCTAAGATGCTATTTTGACCAACAATATCTATAAAAGTAAGATATTTAAAATAAAAAAGAGTTGCATATTATGATAGTTTGTTTAATAATAAATCTAGTAACATCAATTTTACACGATTGATCTTTTTTTTTATTTTTTTCTATTAATAGTTAAAAAGTTAAAAATATTTAACTTGTCAGTTGTCACTATGCTAAAAATGATTATATTTCGAGATGGATGGAGTACGAGTTAAGGTGTTCGCTACTTCTATTTATCATGGTTGTTTGCCAAATAACAACCCCCACAATAAGGACTTGGCAAGGTGCTTCCCTAATTATCATGTGTATATATATCAAGAGATTTTGCAATCATGTGTATATTATGGTGGGCACGAGTAGCCGAGTATGTTTTATATTGAGCACATGTCCATTATGCTCTCATATTATATTGGTTGTCAAAGGTTGCCACGTTAAAACTTAGACATTCAACAATTTGTTACCTCAAACATGTTTGGTTGGTAACCACAATGGTGACATACCGCACTTGGCTTCTAGCCAAATGCTGTCACATTTATGGCCAATAATTTGTTGGCCACATTTTATACGGCATATGCCACACTTATAGCAAAGTGAAGCGTGACAAACATAGTTATCAACCAAAGATCAGACGTCTGGTATTATCCATCACATTTCTTTCGATTAAACAATATGTGCATAGTAAATAGGACTAAAATTTACTTCATTTGTTCCAAAAATATTCAAATCCTAGGGACATGTGTCTAGATTCATCCCTAAAATTTAAGTTTTTTTTTACAGAGACATTACACCATTTCATTGGGGCAGAGAAACATGTCATTATCATATACTCCTTTCATCCTATAAAAACAGATATAATACGGAATGTGATATATTTAGTAATACGAATTTAGACACTACTAAAATATTACATTGTATTCTACGTTTGTTTTTTAATTAGACGGGTGGAGTATACTTTATTGTTAGGCTTAGCGCCTATTTAATTGGCAAAAAAAAAAGTTTGCCCGTGCATATAACATCGGATATACGGACACACATTAAACGTAGTCTAATAACAAAACAAATTACAAATTCTGACAGGAAGCTGCGAGACAAATTTATTAAGCCTAATTAATCTATCATTAGCAAAATATTTACTGTAGCACCATATTGTCGAATCATAACGCAATTAGGATTAAAAGATTCGTCTCGTAATTTTCTGTTGAACTATGTAATTGATTTCTTTTTTATTTCTATATTTAATACTCTATATACATGTGTCAAACATTCGATGTGATAATTTTGTTTCGGAACTAAACAACCCCTAGTTGCTGCATGATCTGCGTATCTTGTTTGAATGGGGAATCGTGCCACCAATTTCCTACCTGTCATTTGAATATCGAATTTATAATCCAGCACGCGTCCTATAAATACCGGACATGGCAGCCACCGTCTCCACTGAGCTCGAGCTCGACCAAAGCCGCTCTCCCATCGTAACCACCGGATAGAACAGTGCCCCCGCCATGAGGACGAGCACGAGCAACGCCGCGCTGCTCTTGCTGGTGGCAGCAGCGCAATGCCTCGCGCTGCTCTCCGTCGCCGCCGCGGCGAAGCCGCGCACGCGCCAGGGCGACTACCTCGACCGGCTCCGCGGCTCGCCGTCGTCGTGGGCGTCGCTGGCCGAGGATCGTGGCGCGCCGGCGCCGTCGCCATCGCCGTCCGGTGGGCGGCACGCGGCGCCAGCGGCGGCGGCGGTTGGGAGCAAGGAGGCGGACCGCGTGGCGGGGCTGCCGGGGCAGCCGGCCGGCGTGGGCTTCGCGCAGTACGCCGGGTACGTGACGGTGGACGCGGCGGCGGGGCGCGCGCTGTTCTACTACCTCGCCGAGGCCGACGGCGGCGCCGCCGCGTCGTCCAAGGCGCCCCTCCTCCTCTGGCTCAACGGCGGCCCCGGCTGCTCGTCGCTCGGGTACGGCGCCATGGAGGAGCTCGGCCCGTTCCGCGTCAAGAGCGACGGCGTGTCGCTCTACCGCAATCCCTACTCCTGGAACAACGGTAAGCACCGCCTCGCCGCCGCGGCGCGCACGACGTCGCCATGTCAACTCAGAATTCAGAGCAACTACTAACACCACAGCATCATTCGATCCATGGCGTGGCGCGCAGTGGCGAACGTGATGTTCCTGGAGAGCCCGATCGGCGTGGGGTTCTCGTACTCGAACACGACGGCGGACTACAGCCGGATGGGGGACAACAGCACGGCGGAGGACGCGTACAAGTTCCTCGTCAACTGGATGGAGCGCTTCCCGGAGTACAAGGGCCGCGACTTCTACCTCGCCGGCGAGAGCTACGCCGGCCACTACGTCCCCCAGCTCGCCCACGCCATCCTCCGCCACTCCTCCGCCGCCGCCGGCGGCAAGCCCTCCTCCTCGCCGATCAACCTCAAAGGCATCATGGTACACACATATACTACTACACTACATATAGTACAACGAATTCGGATCTAATCTTATCCGGTTTTGTTATACTATGAAATATCTCATTCCATTGTAGATTAGGGTGTGTTTAATTAGTTCTACGTTAAAATGGAAAGTTGACTAAAGTTAAAAGTTTGAATAAAAAAGTTAGAAGTTTATATATGTAGAAAAGTTTTGATGTGATGGAAAAGTTAAAAGTTTAAAAAAAAATTAGGAACTAAACAAAGGCTTACTATATTGTAAGACAGAGTTAGTACCTCTGTTTTAAAATATAATAATATAAGTATACTTGAACAAACACGCAGAAATGCTTAGCTTTTAGAAAGATCCATACGAGAGAATTCAAGTACTGAAACATCAACTAGCTTGACAAAAAAAACACCAAAAGTGTTTAATTAATTTAATGCACTTGACGGGTACACTGATGACTATACTGTGCGTGTCGCAATCAATCAAAGATTGGGAACGCGGTGATCAACGACTGGACGGACACAAAGGGGATGTACGACTTCTTCTGGACGCACGCGCTCATCTCCGACGAGGCCAACGACGGCATCACCAAGCACTGCAACTTCACCGACGGCGCCGACGCCAACAGCCTCTGCGACGACGCCACCAGCCTCGCCGACGACTGCCTCCAGGACATCGACATCTACAACATCTACGCCCCCAACTGCCAGTCGCCCGGCCTTGTCGTCTCGCCGCCGGTCACCCCCTCGGTAAGTCAGTCGGTCACCGTCTTCTTGACCAACACTCACTGACGTTTCAGAATTCGACGCGTCTCTGATGACGTTTCAAAGATGAGGCCGGGTTTTCGGACCTCATCTTTTCGTTTTTTCCTATGCTTATCAACCGAAATTTAAATTTTTAACATTAAATTTAAAACTTATTTTAGTTTTTTTTTCATCGGAGTATATTTTCAGCCTATGTATTTAGATAACTAAGAACACATATATAAAAGTTTTATTCATAAATAGTTTTTCATTTGCAAATAAGCCAAACGATAGGACCGTTCATCTGCGTAACACCTATATCATCGGTTAAAGAAAATCAACTTATAAAAATGAATCTAGATATACGTTTGTTCAGAATTGTCTCTATAAGTTGTTTCTTAGACTGAATGAATATTCGACGTTATGCGGTGGTGACGGTTACTGGGACAGTGAGATGAAACTAAGGAATTGAGTGGCTAATTGCTAGGGCTAATCAGGAAGGTTAACTTGTGGTGTACGTGACGTGTGCGCAGATTGAGAGCTTTGATCCGTGCACGGATTACTATGTGGAGGCCTACCTCAACAACCCTGATGTGCAAAAGGCGCTGCACGCAAACATCACCAGGCTTGATCACCCGTGGTCCGCTTGCAGGTAAACCCAACAATCACCCATAAAGAAAGTATCAAACCAGTATTAATTAAGCAGGCAAATTCATGCATAAGCAGATAATTATGGCTCCCTGTTTTGACCAAAATATACAGGTCTTCAAATATTCAAATGTGCAGATTAATTAAGCAGACTTCTGTATGCATGAAGGGCCTGTTTTTGTTTGTTGCCTAAATTGCCTCATCAATATTTTTGTAATTTCAATACTGTCTATTATCTATTTGGACTGAAGCCGTTTTAGCAGGCCTAAATGGTAGGCAACATCATTAGTTAACCTCAGCTTCAATCAAACACAACTTTGTCTTGCCAAAATTTGGCATTGGCAAAAATTGGTAAGGTCAATTTTAGCCCCAAACCAAACCAGCTGGAAAAGAGAAAATTGAGCTCATTTTTCTCTAGTAGCTCATCAGCTGAATCACAGCTAAATGGACCAGTATTTACTACTACTATGTTAGCATCATTAGAGCTTACAATGCTTTGGTCAGGGACAACGATTTCATCAGTGTTTTTTTTCATGATTTGGCCAGTAGTACAATGTATCAAGCATCACAGTGAAACCAACCGATCACACCAACTTGGACAGATGATTAGGCCATCAACATGACATCCATTATTGGAGACACTTTTGGTGTTTCATCAATCATCCACCAACTGTTAAACCAACCTGATTAGTGATTTGCTTTGCTGCACAACCTGGAGGCAATCATTCATAGTTATGAACCCTAGCTTGCTCACATTATACGAAAATCACACCACACTAAGCTCACTATTTCAGGTTAGGCGTGCACTGAATTATGAACTGAACACAGAATTAATTAGTCTCTTCTGTCTATCATGTTTTATTTTGTCTATCATGTTTTATTCCATTCGTCCTGGATTTTTGTCTGCAACAATATGATAAACTGACTGGTAGGTGTAGCACAAGAAAGTAGGCAATACAAAAGGTTGCTGAAAACTTGCAGCAATTCCATTTCACATGAACGGGCAAACTTCCATGAGTTGGCATAGCGTGCTCCAAATTCGTAAAATCTTGTTTGAATTAACAAATGACAAATGCAAGGAATGCATGGTGCTAGTTTAATTTTGACTTCATGCATACTCCATATCACTATATGCAAGATCTTATCTAAAACATGAGAGATCTTATAATCTATTCTCAGAACAAAAACCAGGAACCTTATAATGCACCAGCTTTTATAGTTTCTTTCTCCATGTTTATTCGATGCACATGACGAATTGCATCTAGAACCACACGCTGTTGGTTTCCTTTTTTTTTTATATGCTGGTATGCTCTGAAACTATGCGTGGATGTACTGGGACTTCAACATTTTTTTTTCTTTTTGCTCATATCAGAAGTCTATGATTGATCACCTTACTCTTTGCCCATGCCGCATGAATTGATTGGCCCATGTGCCCATCCATCGATTTGATTGCGTAGAACTTTGGCATAATTTACAAAAAAGAAAATATTTGATCCGTTTTGCAGTGGAGTCTTGAGACGCTGGGTCGACAGCGCTTCAACGGTTCTGCCCATTATCAAGGAGCTCCTGAAGAACAACATCAGAGTCTGGGTGTACAGGTATGTTCAGCAACTTTCAGACAATCAATCAATAGATACCCTGATCAATTATCTGAAAAAATAGATGCTCTAATCCAAGAAGGAAATGAACTAGTAGTATTTTGTTGCCAGTTTTGGTATATATATGCTTAATTCAGTGTCACTGATATTGCAGTGGAGACACTGATGGGAGAGTACCTGTCACTTCCAGCAGATACTCTGTCAACCAGCTCAACCTTCCAGTTGCTGCTAAATGGAGACCATGGTTTAGCAACACTCAGGTACTTAGTTCCTGCACTTAAAACTCTTCCTTCCCTTCACCTGTTATCTGAAAAAACAAAGTAGGAACCACTTCACAGAAATCTGAATTCATCAGAAAACAAACTCTCGCAGGCCAGTATGGAAGTAAATTCTACCCAAATTCGAACTTTAGAAGCTCATACCATGAATACTAGTTTTTGTTAGGATTTAGAAATTGTATTGATCTGTTTCAATCTTGTGAAATTCAGGGTGTTGGAGACGTTGGTGGATACATTGTGCAGTACAAGGGGAACCTCAGCCTTGTAACCGTGAGAGGAGCAGGCCATGAAGTCCCCAGCTACCAGCCACAGCGAGCGCTTGTGCTTGTCCAGTATTTCCTTGAAGGCAAAACGCTACCTGATTGCGAAAAATGTGGAGAGGCTTAGTTATAAAAAAAAAACTTAACTTATGTTTACAAATATAAGTAGTATAATGTGCCATGACCACAAGTTGCATTATTCCCATTGTTGTCCCCATTCTAGATAGTGCAAGAAAGAAGCAAAATGAAATGATATTAAGAAGTACTCAAATATAGAAACCATTGCCCCCTGTATTTAGCAGATCATGTAACGGCAGTTCAGCAAACGATTTTATATAGAGTAAAAGATTGTAAGATGGCGCTCCTCTGATCTGAATATTGCTTGCCAAAATGGTTGGCTGAAATGAAAAGCAGATGCTTCATGCTTCCTTGTAACACAGATCAATCTGAATAGTCAGAACAGGATTCCATGAAATATGTTGGTACCAAAGCAAAATACTGAACTAACTGAAGATGTCTAACTTTGGATTATGGCAAGTGCATTTAAGCATCAGCAACGACAATTATGACAGAAACGATGAATTTGGCAATGTAGAATTTCAGAACGATCTGCACGAATAGGCCTCTTAGAAAACCTGATAGTGTTCAATTTCCACATACACAAAATGTATTATCTAAAACATGAACAAAATACATGCCTTAAAAAATGCCAATTGCTTTCACATTACCAACGAATGAAAACAAATGTTTCTGAGGGCATTTTCTTCCTCAAATGTGCCAACCAATTCTTTGTGCCTTCCCACACAACACAAAAAAAAGCAGTGGTAGCACAATACAATGACTCGCTGATTCTCACATGATCAGTCAACAAGTATTTGTACCTGCAAAGGCCCGCTTTGCATCTTTGGATGGCCACAATGGTGGCAACATCACATCATTTGATCTTGTACAAATTATAACAATTTACAAACGTTGTAAGATGAATCAGTGTAAAGTTCATTCTGCTGTATCTTGTGTGTCTACGTAGTGTATAGTTGGGGAGCTTGTCCCTGTTGATCCTTGCAACTTTTTGCAGACATAGATATAGTGAGAGTCAGGGTCCTCTGGAACAAAGCCATCCGGTAGTACACCACTCTCTGTCATTGGAACAGGATCTAAGACAGACCTTTTCGTCTTGCCCTTGAACCCGGGTCTGGCTGCAAAACATTAAAAATGCTGATCATAAAGGGAACCTAAAAGTACAGGAGAATAGAAGTTATCAATCAGGATTCATCACAAATACTTCCACTAAAATGGAGTGTTCATGAAAAAGAAAGAATTATAAGGCTTCCACTAAGCAATGCATCAGAACACGTAAATTGCAAACATGGTCTGAACATATTGTCAGATAACATTTCCACGTGCAAAAGAAAAAGGATAAAATATTGTATTTTTACGTACGCAGAATGTATAGTACAATTTTCCAATTGCATCCTGATTGGTTCAGATGAGGTACCCTCACCGATGGATCACCATAAGTTATCTAACAGTTTAAATGCAAAACTTGATCAGATAAATCAATATTAGGGAAGGGCAGATTAAAAACCACATTCTGAACAAACTTTTCAAAGTGCCTACCAGCATAAAGATTCCTCCTGGTTTAAGAAGCCTGCAATCAAATGGTTGAGCTGGTGAGTCTGCAGCAGCACTATTGAAATCTATGGCGTATCTTGGTGCAGATGAGACTGTGAATGATAGCTTAGTGGGGTAAGCAAGACATTAAAAACCTTTCTACTTCTAGAACCATCTGAGCTGCGCTGAGAGGAGCACCCACACCACACTATGGAAGTAGCAAGATCACAATGTTGAAGAAGTACCAGAATAAGGAAAAGGAACAATGAATAATGTAGCCTACTTACCATCAATGAGTCCAAAGTACCTAGAAGAAATGCACAAAAATGAACAAGTGGCATTACATGTATGCTTCAATAATTGCTAGAACACCATTTTAAGAACTCATACCTTTATCAATGGCACAATCAAATGATTCATCAGAAAATATACTCATGTCCCTAGCATCCATTTGCATGTCTAAGTGTCATAAGGAGACCAATGGATGGTAAATTTCAGTGGAGGTGGAGAAAGAAACAAAATGGAAAAGCAATTTAGGATACACTGCAGCTGTGGAATATTGAAGTGTTTCTTTCTCATAATCTCAATTACAACCGAAGAAATGTCAATGTTCATTATCTCCGTATAGCCATCATCAACCATATCCTCTGACATAACTGCGAATGGCAGAACATGGAGAAAACATTTTGAATTAACACAGGTGGTATTAGAGGGGGGAAGTGGGAAGCAATAATTGGTGTTCCGAAGGTTAGCTTTACTCTACCCTGAAAAACCTAACTCAACAGCAACACCCAAACACCAATGTGTGCCCGCAAAAGGAAAAGACATAATTGTACTAAAAATGTCACAATAGGACACACTAAATTTCCTCTGTTCCTCTTTATTTCCCCTACTGTCCATATTCCAAAAAGACATTGAATTTGTAAAAATAGTGCAAATAAACAAATGCGCTGCCATCCAGCTATGGTCCCAAGATGCCTTGTACCATAACGCAGCAGCAGTAAGCCAATAGCAACTTTAAGCTATCGCAGGATAAAAAGTCCCTAGTAAAGCAGACTTATTTTTGCATATGTAGTCTATCACTCTAGCAAGCGTCTGAAAAACAATAATTTTCAGGACAACCTCCTGCCCAATTAGGCCATCATAAATTCACAAGAACTGCATGCTCGTGTCAGTTGCGTGTTATCAATAGCAAGAACTTGTACCTTCAGAAACAGCCTAATTATAGTAATATATCAGAGCAAAAGGGCACTAATGCCACTATGTATGAGAATGGCGCCATCTGATTGCCATAATGGCACAGATAGAATAGACTAGTAGAGGCTTTTAGACAAGAAAAGGGTCTCTTAAGACAAAATCACCATTCTTGACAAGGAGCTTTCCACAAAACTATTGCCGAAACAGCGATTTCTATCCTAATAACAGTAACAGTCACTGCCTATGCAAGTAGTAACTGCCCAAGAAAAATCACTATCCATCAATCGCCCCCCCCATTTCACAATTTGCTTAATTCACTTGATACTACTATACTACGCGCGTAGTTGAAAAACAAACGTGAAAAATCACAAACGAACAACACACACAAGCAAAAGATAAATTTAACTTTCTTTCTTTGGAACAAGGAAAGGAATTGAAAACACGAGAGCGGAGCCGAAAGCCGCAATCTCTATGGAAAGGGAGGAGATGGAGGAGGAGGGAGGTGGCGTACGAGCGGAGCCGCAGCCGATCATGAGGACGCGGGATTCCGGCGGGGCGAAGCGGCGGACGAAGGGGCGGAGCGCGGCGTAGCGCTGGTACCAGTCGTACGGCGCGCCGCCCTCCTCCACGTAGCGGGCGTCCCAGTACTCCGCCTTCCCGTAGCTCAGCGCCCTCCCGCCTCCCCCTCCCCCGCCTTCTCCTCCTCCGCCGCCGCCGACGCCGGCGTCGCTCCTCCCCATCCCCTCCTCCTCCGGCTCCGGCGAAGACGGCGGCATCGCCGCGGCGGCAGCTGGAGGAGGGGAGCGCGCGAGCGAGGCGAGGAGGCGGCGGATAGCGGAGAGGAGCGAGGAGGAGGAGGAGGGCATCGGCATCAATGCATCAGTAGGTGGGGAGGGGAGGTGGGAGGAGCATCGGCATCGGTGGCGCGCGAGCTTGGGACCAGCCGCCACCACACGTCGCCGTCGTCGCCTGCCGATATATCAAAGGTGACTTTTCCCTCCCCCTGTTTAAATTCCTTTTTTTTATTTTTTTAATCTTTTGTCTCTCTTACCTTGTTTTCTCTTGAACTTACTGTTTAGCTGCGGACAAAATTTAAATTTTAAAACTTAATTTGATTTTTATATTTTAATCATATTTTTTTTTCAGCGGGTCTGTTCAGGGAAAATTAAAATTCTGAAAAACAACATGTCGATAACTAGTTTGTAAGAATATGGATAAATTGGGTTCTTTTGCTTCTGGCTTCTCGTTTCTTTTCTTGATTCTACAAATATAACTTCTCATAATCTATACGAAAAGCTGGATTATTTGGGGAGCTTCTGATTCTTGGAGAAGCTGCAGCTGTCCCAAACAGACTTAATATTGTCTTTTTAAAGTTGCTAAGAACACATATTCTATAAAGTTTAATCCACAAAAAAAATGTTTTATTCGCTAATAGGCATTGCGGCCTATAATCAACTGTAGATAGGGGTGGTAAAAGGCCCAACATCTAAAGCGGGCTTATTCGTTTCAAAGGATTTGTAAAGGAAAAGTACAGGAATATCCAATCCTTTGGAATGAGCACTATCCTATCATTCGTTTCAAAGGAAAATATAAAAGGAAAAATTCATATCCCTCCACTTTTAGGGGGAAAACAAAGGAAAAAAAATAATCCACTCCAACCCAATGTTTTCAATCCTTTGGATTGTTTGCAACCCAACCATAGAAAAATTTCCTATGTTTTCCAATTCATAGGTTTGCACATGCATTCCTATATTATTTTTATGTTTTCCCTATTCCTACGGTTTGAAAATCGTACAAACCGAATAAGCCCTTCTATTCAATTTTAAACTGAAAATATATATGAGGGTTGTTTACCCTAAAAAGGAAGGAAATATATATGAGGCCTGGGTCTAAAGCTAAATTTCTATTCAATTTTAAACTGAATATATAATATATATATATGAGGGTAAGAAGAATATATATATGAGAGCTAGGTAGGATTGTGAATAACCTATGAGCCACCATGGTCGTACTAAATGTTTTTAAACTCTTTTATTGTTTTTTATTTTTCTTGACTTCCTTCTCTACTACAGTCTTTTTACCTCTTTTAGTTTGATTTTGTGGCTCAATTTGTCCCCGCTGTTCCAATCTTGCCTCTACTGCCACTCTTTGTCGAGCGTCAGCAAATGGACTCTGTGGATGGATGCTTCAGTGATGCCTACACGCTCATGACACTTCTGTTTAGACTTAGCCAGTCAGCCAAACAATAATAAACCGTGCTCAATTTGAAAATTCCCAAGATCGCAGCAAATTTTAAACCGTTACTCGTGGATTTTCTACGTATTAAAAAATCACGACGACCTTTAAACCATTTTCTTTATTCTAAAATATAACAACTTAGTATGGTATCAAATTTATAATTCTAAATGCATTTTATCCCGTTACTATACTTTTGAGACGGAGATGGAGATAGTAGCTTGCGAGTTGACTCAACCATACACTTACAAAAGAGAGTAAAGAAATCTTCCTCCATGGCGCCCACTCCTCGGATTAACTAGAGGAACAAGTAAACACCTACTCTTCGGATTAAGATCCTATGCCTTCAAAGGCACAATACTTTTGTCACTGACAGGTGAGCTCATAGTTCATCGGGCCTGCACAGTGACAAAGCTACAAAGGCACGTACTTTTGAAGGTAAGGGAGCCTGACCCGGCAGAATGGCTGCTTTGAAGAACGTGCGGGACTAGAAGAAGAAGGTAGCGTCGTGATAGCGAGATCGCGTGGCCCCAGCGAAGCACGAGGATCTTTGCAAGGTACGCCGTACAACTAACTGGTCCTCCTCCTCCTATCTTCTACTCCACATTTTGGACCACTCGGCCACTTGTTCCGTACACGTCAAGAACACAGAGATAGCTTGCAAATTATGCAGAAAACACTAGCTTGAAATTAAGGTTACAAACTAGTATGTGAATGAGGGTTTACAATTCCGATACCGGATTAAAATCGCTCACTAGTTATATCCTCAGAATAAACAAAAAAGATAAAATCTTGACAATATAGTTAAAATTTTAAAATTTATTTTAACTTGACTGAAAAACCGATCAAATTATGTTTTCGAACCAGTCTCGTAAGTCCGGAATTCGCGTAATCCGGACCAGTTTCCACAGGGATGGTAGACCTTAATTAACATAATATAGTAATATACCAAGAATTCTATACAAAATTTCAGTGCTTTAATTCTTTTTGTAGCTATATTTGAAGCTGTCCTTGATCTTGCCTTTTCACAGAGAGATTGGTTCAGTGGTTCTTTGCTCTCTTTTTTTTACCCTGCTTTTGGCACATCAGGATGGTACTAATACAATTCCATCCGGTGCTACAGATCATGAGCTCATGATTTGATGGTGGTATGATTTTTTTTTCTTTTCCTAACTCTCGATGACTTTACAAGTTTGGCATAACCGAGTCATCCTGTTCAGGCCTGTGAAGGTTGTGCAGGATGTACAGTGAAGCGGACGACAGGAAGATGCAGACCGAGTAGCTCAGCAGGTCCAACCCCGTTGTTATCTTCACCATTTTGCTCCTCTCGAACATCTTCACCAGAAGGATCATGACGATGACATGCCCTACTTTGGTTTTCAGTTCGTCCAGGGAGGTAATCTTCATCCACTTTGGTCTTTCCTGAAACAAGAAGAAAACGAACGATCAGTTTTCTGAACCTGCCACGATTGCAGAATTGCAGAGATGATAACTACTGTTCTCAAGGCAGATGTAGGGAGTGTCTATGTTTGTGCAAACTATGGTTATATTTGATTATCTGGTTTGTCTGAATTTTCAGTAGTGAAGTTTTGGTTGTTTTGCAATTAAACAGTTCAATGGATAGCTCACAAAATAAAATTTTCAGTCCACAAACAAAGGAGTGATATGGTTAGCAAGTACAGGTTCATCAGTAAAAGGCTAAAACGTGAAGGTTGTTTTGGCATGCGAAGATGATTGGCTAGTTCTTATTCAGTTCCTGTACATTGTTTCCCTTCTGCTATAATATAAAACCAGCAGTTGCTGGGTTCTTTTTTTTTTTTTTAAAAAAAAAGATGATTAGCTACCTTTAAAGCAAACATCCCAAATAAGGATGATCCCTGCAGAGCTCTGTCAGACTCAGAAGGAACATCAGTAGAAGTATTGCTGATGAACAGCCCGTACAAGCCCATCCCAAAGATCAGCATGACTGTTCCAGCGAGATAAACATCTGCAGAGAGCAGTAAAACACAGCAGTTAATGTAAGGTTCAATCATTCTACACACCAATTTACTGCACCTTGCATGCTTGCAGCCTCTAGAGTTGATAAAGACTTTATCGTATATTATGAAGCCTAGAGAGTAACCTACCATTCTTTTTGTTTTTTTAAACAAATGAGTAACTTACCATTCTACTACCAACCACCTAGGAATATCAGAAATTTAAGGTGTGATGGTTACAGTTGGTCACCAAAAGCTTTTATAACGAACGAACTTTCATTGGTTGAGACGTCACGAAGCATGATCGATGAAGATTAAGGTTTTTAAAATAACGAGGTGGTATTGATTGAGTTTTAATTATTACAAACTTGAAAAATAGATTAATATGATATTTTAGAGTAACTTTCATATAAAAAGTTTTCGCGCAAAACACACCGTTTAATAGTTTGAAAAGCGTGACATGAAAATTTTAATCTTCATCTAACTCTTCTTGGAGAAAAGAACGGCACCATAGAGTTAAATTCGAATCATTGTGAGTTGTGACAGATACTACCTTTCTTTGTGCCAGCTGACTGAATAAACCTTTTTCAGTAGCTCTTACAAGACAGAATTCTCAAAGAGTTTAGGTAGTGACATATTTATACTTAAACCACTTTGGATCAAACAGCAAGCAGAATGGGCATCTCACCAATGGCTTCGACAACTTTGAGGACCATCTGCCCTGTATGGACGCCTTTGAGACAGCCCGACCAATACACGCTGTAAGCCTCTTTTATGTAAACACAACCCTAATCACGAGTAGACAGAAGCTAGATGATCAGAGCCAGAAAAATATTGACATGGATGTTCTCTAGTGTTCTACCCTGCAAGAAAGATATTCTTGTTCTTGATACAGATAATTCTTGCCCTGATTGGAAAGAATCAGGTGTTGGAGACGAAATGGATATGATCACTTACATTGAGGAAGCAGAGGAGGGATCCGGCCAGTGATCCGGCAACCGCGAGAAGAGCCAGGAATCTGAAATCGAAGATCACCTGCGTGCGTCACGATGGACAGAAATTTTAGCCTGATTTGCAATACCAAGCATGGTAAATCGACGCAGATCTTGGAAAGAACCAAGCAGATACCCTCTCGACGGTGGTCTCGACGGCGGTGGACTTGGTGGTGGGAGGAGGAGGAGGAGCCATGGCGCCGTTGGCCCCGCCGACGAGCCCGTAGCCTCGCGGCTTGCCCGCCGGTGAGCCATCGGCGCCGCCGACTCCTCGCAGTACGGCGTCCGCCGCGGTGGTCACGCCGTCGCCGGACGAGGACGTGGCGCCGACCGCCACGAGCCTCGACGGCGTCCGGCGGGGGCGCAGCGCGGCGCCTCCTCGCCGGAGCGCCGGCGCGGCGGCGAGGCAGCCGCAGCGCAGGAAGAGAGCGGTGGTCATCGCGCGCGCGCGTCGGGTCGGAGTCGCCGCGCTCGCCGGCTGCTTGCTCACCGGCGACGCACCCGCGTTGCGTTCGTGGCTGCTTCGTGTGGTGCGAAATCGGGGAGGAGAAGAGGTGGAGAGGAGACGGGTTTTCTGGCGCGAGATGCCAGCCGCGTCGCTCTCAGCTCTGGCTCTCTCGCCGTCAGGCTACTGTGGCGCGAGGGCTTTGCACCGTTGCCTGCATTTGCCGCGCGTTTTCGCGGGGGGACGCACGCACACGGCACATCGCAGTGATGCGAGAGAGACATTATGCCTATTTGGGAAGTTTCTAGCTGCTGTAGCTTCTTCTAGAATCTCCGCTTCTCCAAACAGTGTAGTTTGTTACCTAGATTCTAAGAATCTGTACTTGTAGAATTCAGAAAATGAACTGAATCCAGATGCTGAAAAACCCAGCTTCTCCAGATTTATAAAAGCTGGCTACCAAACAGCAGATTCTCAGAATTTTAAGCTCCTCAAGCAGTACTATTGTATCGATTGGTTTGGAGTTTGTGGAGGGATCTATAGATTTGAAAAATACTGCCCTAAAATCACCAAATCGAATATGCCTTCTGATTTGTCATTTGGATTAAACCCAGATTGGTTTTCTCACTATGATCCTAGCCAATATGCTGTATTATTTTCAGTTTTTTGTTACAGATTTTCGGCCCCATCGTTTCACTTTTGGGTGGAATAAGCCAAAAGATATATTTGCAAACGAAAAATAATTTGTGAAAAAAACTTTTATGTACGTATTCTTAATGATCTAAAAGCAAAGGCTGAAAAATAAACTTCGATGAAAAAATCTCAAAATCAACTCCAAATTTAAGTCTGAAAATTTAAATTTTGGCTGATAAGCGTAAGCATAAGCATAAACGAAAAGATAAGGCTGTTTAGGAGTTCTTTACACTGATTTGTCCTTGCAATCCGTTTAAGCCCAGCATCAGGGCTTGCCTAGCAACAGTTCTAGTGCTACAAAATACAAGCACTGAGGCAATGAGTTCTTCCTATATGGCATGTGCTATAAAAAATACTACTGAGTAGAAGGCAACATGTCCGGCGCTGCAATCATGTACTACTCGTGTTCTGGGCGATGAAGGTTGTGCAGGATGTACAGGGAAGCCGACGACAAGAAGATGCAGACCGCGTAGCTGAGCAGGTCCATTCCCGTGGTGATGTGCACCATCTTGCTCCTCTCGAACATCTTCACCAGGAGAATCATCACGATGATGTGGCCCAGCTTCGTTTTGAGCTCATCGAGAGAGCTGATTCTCATCCACCTCGGTCTCTCCTGCAGCAACAAGAAGTGAATGGTTCAGCGGCTTTCAGTTTCATGACATGTGAGCATCAGAAGTTATCAGGAAAAAAAAAAGTGCAGAGATGGTGAGTGCAGATTTCGACTTCTCGAGTCAGTTAGTTTAATCTTGAAGTTTCTTCTGAATTTAATGGCTGATACCTTCAAAGCAAACATGCCAAACAAGGATGATCCCTTGAGAGCACGATCAGATGCAGGTACATCAGGAAAATCGTTGCTGATGAACAGCCCATACAGACCCATCCCAAAAATCAGCATGACTGTTCCAGCAAGATACACATCTGGCCACAAAGCAGCAGTTAAGTTAAAGCACATTTTGCAGGTCCCCCTCTTCCAAAATTGATAAGAGGTTCGTATAATTGTTAGTGTTAGATTTAGGTAGATATCAAGCTAAACAATAGAGGCATCTAAACAATATTGTGTCAGAGTTCAGATGATATCAAGCAGAACTTTAATTGCTCACCGATAGCCTCGACGAGCCTGAGGACCATCTGCCCTGTATGGACACCTCTAACACAGCTTGTCCAGTAGACATGGTATGCTTCTTTAATGTACACACAACCCTGATTATAAGCAAATGACAGATGATTCAATCTGTAATTTCAGCTCCACCATTTCGTATACAAAAATTTGCTTGCACAGTCACAAGGCTTTACACTGAGGAAGCAGAGGAGGGAGCCGGCGACGGCGAGGAGAGCCAGGAAACGGAAATCGAATATCAGCTGCGGCCAAAAGGCAAAACGAAACATCATATCAGACGACGGCAGCTGCGTGCACAGGACCAACAAAACCATACTTTCGCGCGTGTGCGTGTGTGTGTACGTACATATGTACCTTCTCAACGGTGGACTCGACCGCGGGGCCAATGCCTCCGCCGCCACCGCCGTCCCCTCCGGCGAACGCGCGCTCCAGCGACATGGCGGCGGCTGCCGAGCCATCGGAGCCCAGCGGCGATTCGCCCGTAGTAGTGGCCGTATTAACCGACGAGGCAGCGCACGCGACTGCCACGAGCCGGGGCCTACGACACGGAAGCGCGGCGCGGCCACCGCCCGTCTCCGCGCGCCGGGACAACGCTGGAGCGAGCCAACCGTGCACCACCGCGAGAGCAGCCATCAGCTCGAATGCTGCTGGTTTGCCTGCCACGAGTGGAGTACGGAAACGGACGTGGTGGTGTGACGCGTCGGTGTCTCCCCCACCCGGTGCTTTTCATCGCCCTCTCGATCATCCGGCCATGCGTGCGGGTGCGGATGGTTGGTTTCTCGCGTGCGATCGAAAGGGAGTGCAGGAAAGACCTGGAACGGGTCGGCAAATCCCCAATACGGCATGCAGGCCCGCGGGCCTGCGCACGCGAGGACGCGCGAGTCACGATCCCGCTGACATGGACGTATACAGTGAGTATTGTAGGGGGCAACCGGTCTCTGGCTCGTATCAGATGGCCTAATCAGTAAAAGAAAAAAATCAAATTTTAAATTTTCAAGCTTAATGTTGACCTTGATTTTGAGATATTTTAACGCAATTTCTTTTTTAACATTGGCTTTTAAGTCAAAAAAAAACATATTTATAAAAGTTTCACCTACAAATTCATTTATATTTCCTAATAAGTCGTTTTGGCTTATTAGGAAATAAGCCAAACGATTGGGACCTCGGTGTCTCGGACCCTCGGTGACGGTGAGGGGCCGTTTGGGCCCTTTTCACCGGTGGTGAACTGGCGATGATCATCAGAAACGGGCAGTAGGTCGTTCAGTATCCAGCACACACGGTGGCATCAGGCATGAGTTGAAGTGGTAGAACAAGTAAACATCTGGGCTCTGGCCATCTGGGGAGCTATCAACAGCAGCTCCAGCACGTGATGGAATGCATACGGGTAACTGGCTGTAAGCCTGTAACGGCGACACGGCATGCATGGCTTTGGGGCGGTGCTGATTGCTGTCGCTGAAGGAAGAAATGGGGTGACTCGATTACTCGAGGGATCTTGAGGTGCAGTTTCGTGCTGAAAACTGGTATTGCACATGCGCCATTCATCCCATGAAGAGAGCTCTTGTACATTTGATGCCGCAATCCTGATATGAAAAATCCAGTAATGCATACCATCATATATATGATATGAAGTTCAATGAAAAGCCACGTGTTATGCAATCATTAGCTGTCAACTGAAAGTTATCTTTCAAATGAAACAACACATCATGTGAGAACAAAAAGCTCAATACTTAAGGTGCATAAAGTATGCTCAACTGAAAACTAGAACTACTCGTGTAATCGATCAATCAACTCTTCCATCCTCCGAAGAACTCATGTACATAACGGTGCCACAAGCTTGCTACATAATCCCTGTGATGCATACCTTAACATGAAGTTCAATCAGGAATATATTGTAGCATTATTTTTTTTTGAGAATTTATTGTAGCATTACATATATGCTAAAACTGCCTACTGATTGAAGTTCCAAGTCCTTCAAATGAAACAGTACGATCATTTGTAGACATAAAGTAAAAAAAGTTTAGGTGTATGATCCCATAATCCAATTATGCTATCTAGTTTGCAGTTTCGCGAAAAGTTCCTAAGTGAAAATACTCATTCCAAGTGTTGTATGCTGACTAGGTTTGCAAAGCACACAGAAATAGTTACCTTCTTTCTTTCTCTGCGGAGGAGAAGAAACTGGCCATCACTGTTTTCAGCTTCCCACCAGACAAAGGCAATGTTGGCACAGCGGCATACCTGAATGTTTTCAACTCCATCTATTCCGTCCTCCAAGATCTGAAGAAGGATGGCTACAATGTTGAGGGTCTTCCAGACACAGCTGACAGCTGAGGCCCTCATCGAGGAGGTTATTCATGATAAGGAGGCCCAATTCAACAGTCCCAACCTCAATGTTGCCTATCGCATGAATGTGCGGGAGTACCAGTCACTCACTTCCTATGCCTCCTTGCTGGAGGAGAACTGGGGCAAGCCACCTGGGAACCTTATTTCTGATGGTGAAAAACCTACTTGTCTATGGGAAACAGTATGGCAATGTATTCATTGGAGTTCAGCCCACTTTTGGCTATGAAGGAGATCCAATGCGGCTTTTGTTCTCAAAATCTGCTAGCCCTCACCATGGCTTTGCAGCATACCACACCTTTGTTGAGAAGATCTTCCAGGCTGATGCTGTCACTTTGGTACCCATGGGTCTCTTGAGTTCATGCCAGGGAAGCAAGTTGGGATGAGTGATGCATGCTATCCTGACAGTCTCATTGGCAACATCCCCAATATCTACTGCTATGCAGCAAACAACCCATCAGAAGCAACTGTTGGCAAGCGTAGAAGCTATGCAAACACCATAAGCTACCTGACACCACCAGCTGAAAATGTTGGTCTCTACAAAGGGCTCAAGCAGCTTTCAGAGCTCATCTCTTCTTACCAATCTCTCAAGGACACAGGACGTGGTCCACAGATTGTGAGCTCAATCATTAGCACTGCAAAACAGTTAATCTTGACAAGGATGTTCCCTTTGCCCGAGGAACGTATGGAGCTTCCACCAAATGAGCGTGACCTTATTGTTGGAAAGGTGTATGCCAAGATCATGGAAATAGAATCACGCCTCCTGCCATGCGGTTTGCATGTGATAGGTGAGCCACCAAGTGCCATTGAGGCTGTGGCCACCCTGGTGAACATAGCTTCCCTTGATTGCCCAGAGGATGAAATATACTCACTGCCCAACATACTTGCTCAGACAGTGGGCAGGAACATTGAAGATGTGTACAGAGGAAGTGACAAGGGAATACTGGCTGATGTTGAACTGTTGAGGCAGATAACAGAAGCTTCTCGTGGTGCCATCACTGCCTTTGTTGAGAGGACTACAAACAGCAAAGGGCAAGTTGTTGATGTTACAAACAAACTTAGTACCATGCTTGGTTTTGGTTTATCAGAACCATGGGTACAACACTTGTCCAAGACCAAGTTCATCAGGGCAGACAGAGAGAAGTTGAGAACCTTGTTTACATTCTTGGGAGAATGCTTGAAGCTAATTGTGGCAGATAATGAGCTGGGAAGCTTGAAACTTGCCCTCGAGGGAAGCTATGTTGAACCTGGCCCTGGTGGTGATCCAATCCATAACCTGAAGGTTCTCCCAACAGGGAAGAGCATCCATGCTCTTGACCCTCAGACAATGCCAACTATAGCTGCCATGAAGAGCGCCAAAATTGTTGTAGACCGTCTGCTGGAGTGGCAAAAGGTTGATAATGGTGGCAAGTATCCTGAGACAATTGCACTTGTCTTGTGGGGCACCGATAACATCAAGACCAATGGTGAGTCATTGGCCCAGGTGCTGTGGATGATTGGTGTGCGCTCGGTTGCTGACACATTTGGCCGTGTCAACCGTGTGGAACCTGTCAGCCTTGAGGAGCTTGGACGTCCCAGGATTGACGTTGTTGTCAATTGCTCAGGTGTCTTCAGAGATCTTTTCATCAACCAGGTATGAATTCTGCCCCAGCCTTACATATGTAGAATTTTGTGCACATGCAAGGAAAAATCATAGCTGAACTAATGTACTTCTGGAACACACTGATGCAGACGAATCTACTGGACCGGGCAGTGAAGATGGTTGCCGAACTGGATGAGCCAGAAGAGATGAACTACGTGCGTAAGCATGCACAGGAGCAGGCACAGGAACTTGGTGTTTCATTAAGAGAGGCGACAACAAGGGTATTCTCAAATGCATCAGGCTCTTACTCATCGAATGTGAACTTGGCAGTGGAGAATGCATCATGGACTGATGAGAAGCAGCTCCAGGACATGTACCTGAGTCGAAAGTCTTTTGCATTTGATAGTGATGCTCCAGGGGCAGGCATGCGAGAGCAACGCAAGACATTTGAGCTTGCTCTAGCAACAGCAGATGCCACATTCCAGAACCTAGACTCATCAGAGATTTCACTCACAGATGTGAGCCACTACTTTGACTCAGACCCGACAAAGCTGGTGCAAGGACTGCGCAAGGATGAGCGGGCACCTTCCTCATACATAGCAGATACAACCACAGCAAATGCACAGGTGAGGACATTGTCAGAGACAGTGCGCCTTGATGCAAGGACAAAGCTACTGAACCCTAAGTGGTACAAGGGGATGATGAAAAGTGGCTACGAGGGAGTTAGAGAGATTGAGAAGCGGCTGACAAAAACTGTTGTATGGAGTGCAAAATCTGGACAGGTTGTCAACTGGGTTTATGAGGAGGCAAATGCCACATTTATTGAAGATGAGGCTATGAGGAAGAGGCTCATGGACACTAACCCCAATTCATTCAGGAAGCTAGTTCAGACCTGCCTAGAAGCCAGTGGTAGAGGCTAATGGGAAACATCAGAGGAAAACTTGGAAAAGCTCAGGGAGCTCTACTCTGAGGTTGAAGACAAGATTGAAGGAATTGACCGGTAAATTTGTTTGATCAATCAGATCCTGCATTCAAAAAAGGAGGAGAAATCCTTCTGTCTCACTGAATTGAGAGTTGAGACTTGTACAATTTATGTAATTTATAAAAAGTTGTAACATGACATACACGAGGATACAGTGTTTAACAAAGAGGGTGCCTGTGAATGAAAAATGGAGCATGGGTAGAAGTTCTTTCTTTGGAATATGTTACTTATTGTCACTTAATCACTTGTTCATTTGCAGACTAGTATTTGATACCTACTAGGAATATAAAGCAGGTGGTTGTGAACACAGAATATCAGTAACTATTTTAAGAAAACTACACTAGAGTATTACGATCCTTCACTCCATACTTTACATATGTACGACAACTGTACAAAAACAGGAATTTAGCCAACACGAAATAGTGTGCTAATGTGGCCAATGTGACTACAGTAGCAAGTTAAAAATGAGAACACCTTAGTAATTTAATTGTGAACATTCCAATCTTGACAAAGTAAGTTTCTGGCATCTGATTCCACATGTAAATGACACCAAGAAAAAACAGCATATCTTGCTCAACAAAAAGGGTGTTAAATTGAACTTACAGCTGAAGTGGATGGCAAAGAAGAACAAAACAATATACTGAATAAACTTTGTTTTGTTTTCCCTTCCCAGTCCGAAGTATACAGTTTTAGTGAATTCCTACATCAGATCAATTCCATAAGAAACGGATCACCTGAAGCCATGACTCTGATTAGCTCTACAAAATCTATCTCATTCTGAACCTTCATTGGGTACACTGCATGTGCTTGAGCAGTGTATATTGTTGCAAAAGTGGCATTTGATTGCACATTTGTCCTATAAATAAGTTTGGTCAAAGCTTTTGATTCAAAATTGCTTGGCAAATCCATTGCAAGGAACAACATGGGGATAGCAATACTGTGATGAATGTCTAAGCTTCCAATAGCTTGAACTAGATAAGAAAAGTCACCAATGTGACTTCGAGGTATGTAGAATATCTCACTGTTGCAATGAATTATCTTATCTTCGCCAACACTTCTTTTGTAGTTGGCTTGATATTGAAATGGAAAGCTAGCAATTGCCTTTTTTACCATATCTCCTTGGTTAATGAACCATTCAATTTTATTGCCATGTAAGGGGACATCGGACCATGATTCCTTCACCTATGGAGAAAAAGATGAGTTAATTTGATGGGACAAAGAAATTCACACATATATTTTGGAAACCAGGACATGAGCATGCACCTTGTTGGTTATCCAGAGCTTAGCCTTGTCAAAATCATAGAGGTTCCAATAATTGAGGATCATATGATCCTGAAGGAACATAAATCCCCCAGCACCTGCAAACCGGTCAAACACCTTTGGCAAGAACCTATAGTGGAAATGTATCAGTAAGTGCTGCAAGCTTTTTACATATTCAAGTAAATGAAACTTTACTGGATGAAGTGGTCAGTAAGATTTGTGAGTTATGACGACTTGAAGCGTAACATTTTACTGTTGATTGGTTAGAATCATAAATACCAAGCTGATTTCACTCACTTGTAAGCTTGTGCCAAGTTGCTGACTTCAACAGCAAGATCTGAATTGCTTTTCTCTGAAAGAATAACAACTGCCCTGAATATACGACCATAAAGCAATCTCCACTCAAGTGCAACACGGTCCACAGGTACGGTGCAGTGCACTATAAGCACAACATCACCAAAGTGCTTCCTCCATTTTATGAGATTTCCAATCTCAGTGCTAACTTCCCCAATCTCCTCAACACCAAGATGTACGGTAGGCAGTTTCTTGGGGACAAACACCTGCTTGTCCCCATGTCCAATGGTCGCCCTTGGCCGATCAATCTCCAATGACATCAACCTTGGCTGCCGGTAACCAACAGAGACCAGATCTTGCAGCCACGCGGACATGAACTGCAAATCCTTCTCTCCCCAGAACCCCTCCTCAGTCATCGCATAACTCAAATCAAGAATACGTTCAAAGAGTGTCTGCTTATGTGACCGCCACTCCATTAGGAAATCTATCAGCCTCCCTACACTGACATGGATATCCTTCTCATCATCAAACGGGTGAGCATGCACATTATCCATGCGGTGCACGGTCGGTGGGTAGACCACTAAGTAACCCCCAATCTCCCATAATATGCGCTGCGACCAATACCCACGTATAACATCAGCTGCCATTGGACTCACTGATACTGGCAATGCAAGCCCCCAAAATGCCGGTGAATGGAACAGTGTATTAACTGAGTTGATTGGAGCCATCATGCCCTGAGGAAGTGCGACCTTAGGCGCATCTGCATCAAACCGGAGATCAAAAGCTTCCATTTCCGATGATTTCCGAGTGAAGTAGAACACAGCGTCAACATCCGGTAGGCCATTGCACAGCCCCTGCTGTATGAACTGCCCGCCACCGAACACCTGAGTGTAGAATTCTTCCACACCCACCTCCCCGGCTTTGTGCAGCGGCAACCCCCGCGGCCACACCGACGGCTGCCCAAAGTGCACGTAGGGATTCACCACCGTGCGGTTGGGATCCGCATGGCTGTACTGCAAGAGCACGCCGCCCCCTTGGCGATGGTCCAGATCGACATCGAAGTGCTTGGTGAGGTTACTGCCCAGGACGGCGTTGCGCGCGTCCGCGTCGTAGATGACGCGCGCGCCGCGCTGCACGGCGAAGAGGTAGGCGGCGGCCTTGCGGGCGTGGCCGCGCGCGGGGAGGAAGGCAACGGAGCGGAACCCGAGGCGCGCCTGGTCGGCGAGCGTGAGCAGCGCGGCGCCCGGGTGCGACCAGTCCGGGGGCGTGGTCTCGTCGGCCACGGCGAGGAGCTGCCACCCGGGGACCGCGGGCAGCGGGCGGTGGCGCGGGTGGTGGGCCGCCGCGGCGAAGATGATCCACCTGGAGGCGCGCAGCGACGGGAGCGGCGAGGACGGGAGCACCGGGAGAGGGGGCACGCGCGACCACGCGACAGACGGGTACTGGAGCCGGCGCGACGCACCGCCGGAGCGTGCGGCGGCGAGGCAGAGCGCGGACGGGGACCCGCCGCCGTAGAGGAGGAGCAGCAGGAACGGCGCCGCCGCGAGCGCCGCGAGGACGACGTAGGCCACGCGGCATCTGGAACTCGCCATTTTTGGGCGTAGTGGTGGTGGCGAGATGGGAGAGGGGAGAGGCGACTTGGTGGAGTACTACTACTCCTCCACTTGGTAGTAGTGGCGTTGCTGCCGAGGTGGACAGCTAGTCCTCGTCGGAGTCAATGGCCTCGCGGCGGCGCCGCGCAGCCCGCGAGGTTGTTTCGCCGCCGGCGACGAGGCCCGAGAGGCGACAGAGAGAGGGGATTTTCCCCATTTTGGGCCCAATCATGGGCCTTTATGGGCCTTGATGGGCCGTGTGTAGCCGTGCCTATCCTATGGGCCGTTGCTTTGCTGGCTTGCACACGTCATCGCGTGCTGGCTTTCCAACACGCTCGAAAATTCAAAAGTTGTCTCCCTTTTGATATCCCCACAAAAATCTCGAGCCCCACTTGCCGGCGACGAGATGGATTCAGCTCTTGCCGCCGCCGCCGCCACCGCCGCCGTGGCGGCGTTCCCCAACTTCGCCGATGTCGCCGGCGCCGTCGCGCTCCTCGTTCTCGCCGACTCGCCGCCAGCGCCGTCCCCGCCTCCACCTCCTCCCACTGTCAGGTACTACTTCCGCGCGCAGCACTCTGGTTTTCTCCATTCGGTGTTCGGCGCGACGAATTCACCGCCCCGTGCGGCGGCGCCTCCCCGTTCATTGCAGCGACGAGCTCTCGTGCTACTCGGGATCCTCCGCGTCCTACTCCGGCACCTCGGCGAGGTCGTGCGTGTCCGACTCCGCGCAGCGCGGTCGCCCCGTCGACCCCCTCCGCGTGCTCGCCGTCGTCGCCTCCCTCCGCCGCATCGACCCCAAGGTAAATAATCTGATGTGCTAGATCGCGAACGCCAATAGTTTCATCGGTGCTAATGGCTCTGCTCCTCGTTGACTCTAGGTGCTCGCCAAGGCGACGAACACGCTGTTTCAGGGCGAGTCGTCGAAGAAGAGGAAGGGCGTGTGGATCCACATCGACGACGATGAGGACGAGAGCGAGAGGAACAGCGCTGTGGCCAGCGAGGGGAGCACCGTCACGGGGACCGCGTCTGCAAGCTCCACGGCCACGTCGGGGAGATCCCACCGGCCTCCGCGGGCGAGTGGCGGTGGCGACCAGCTGCCGCGAAGGGCGGACAAGATCATGAAGTGGTTGTCGCGGCCGGGAGCGGTGCCGGCAACGGAGACGACCATCCGTGCAGCCGTCGGCGACAATGCTGGCACCAGCAAGGCGCTGCGCTTGTGAGTACCACACTGCTGCCAATTGCAATTTGAAACGCTTTTGAAATGGTTGTCATGTTAATTTCAATTTGAAGCGGTTTTGAAATGGTTGCCATGTTAATTCCAATCTGAAGCGGTTTTGAAATGGTTTCCGTGTTGCTAAATTGTTTGTGTGGAATCCGCAGGCTGCTGAAGCGTCCGGGCTGCTTGCGACGTTCTGGCTCTGGTGGCCGCAATGATCCATATGTTTACATGGTATGTGAAACTCATGCCTACTGTTTGAATTGAGACGGGAATACGAAATTCGATGCATGTTCTGTGCTGTTGAATGATGGTGGCTCATTGTATTGTAGCTTAAGAGATTTTCAGATTGGAGTAGTATTACCCTTTGATAGTGTGCAAATTTTTTGAATCGAGTTAGTGAGCTACTGAGCTTAGTAATTTCCAGTGGCCCAGTGGGACATACACATTTGAAGCAGTTCTTAAACCTGAGTTAAATTTGCGGTAGTGCTCACTGATCACTCTTTAGTACCCCATTCTAGAAGCTCTATTTATTGTGTTGGGAGCTCAGCACAGGCAAAGTTCACAGCAACAGTGACATGTTATGACGGCCACTGCACAGGCAGACATCACAAAATGTGATGTCTCAAATTTGTGAATTATCAGCTCTTATTAACTTTGCAGAATACATTCATTACTATTTAGCTATTCCCATGATTTCTCATGAGTACTATTTTCCTTTTGATGAATTTTCAGGTCACAGGCTGACCCAATGAAGTTAACTAAGTTGTGTTTATAGCAAAAGAGATGGTAACTGTAAAGCTATTGGAGAGGCCAAGTGACTTCTGAGCAGTATTTAGTAATTTCTACTACCTGTCTGTCTTAATTACTGTTTAATTTTGCCTTCCTGCATATAAGAAGTATAGCCATAGGAGAAAGCAAAGTTCCCATGTTAGAAAGAGCTTGCAGATATATTTGTAAAGATAGGCTACTGGATAGAAATATAGACACACAATCATACACCCAGAGATTTTATGTCATCGCGCTTTATATTAGTGTATGTCGAACTGGAGTAATCAAGTATAATGAGTTCCATTTTCAGACACTTCTTTTTGCAATTAACTGTTATCTGAACTTCTCTGTGGGAATGAAATCTGTGCTGTTGAATAGGAATTATTAGATATTTTGAATAGTCCCTTCTGTCAGCTCTTTATTGTACAAATAGCCTACGGTTCTGATGAACAAATCTGTATTGAAGTTCAATCCATTTATTTCTCCTTCTGTTGCAGAAGCTAGTGAAGCTACCAATCTCCACATTGGTTGTTTTTCACATATAACTAAAGCTAAACTAACGCGCTACGATGAGCATACGCTAGAGTTAGCTTTGTTCTGAAATCTGACAGTGGAAGCCTTTGAGGCTTTCACAGCTTGATCCTTTTGTCTGCATACTTTAGTTCCTCTTCTTACTGGAGAGCATGTTCTTGAACCAGAAAGCTGAGTCCTTGGGGTACCTCTTTAGCGTCTTGTAGTCCACGTAGACGATGCCAAAACGGGAAGTGTACCCGAGCCTCCACTCGAAGTTGTCAAGCAATGACCAAGCAAAGTATCCAATCACTTTGGCACCATCGTCTATCGCCTTCTTGAGCTCAGTGATGTAGTTTCTGTAGTATCTGATTCTTACTGTATCATGCACACCCTGAGTGATACTGACGTTGCCAGGTTGGTCCATACCTGTAAGAGCACAACATTGATCATAGTGTAAGCCTTCTTTAATACTTTTCATTGTCAACAAAACTATTATTCGGAGAATCAGGGACCATTCTGATAGAATTAGTACCATTTTCAGAAAGGATCATTGTAGGGTTTCCATATGTTTCCTTTACATAGGTCACAGCCTTGTTGATTCCCCATGGCACAATGTAAAGCCAGTAGGAGTTTGCCTGCGTGAATTCAATCAATTCAACTATTGAAGTGTGATGATTTAACTTGAAATTCAACTTTTCCTAACTGTTCAACATACTACTGTACAAATGTACAATACATTGACTGCCACTTACTTGAGCTCCAATGGGCACGCCGTTTCGTTCATCTGGAAAAGACATGAGTGCATGAGCAACTGATCCAATTAAACAGTACTACAAGAAACTGAATTATGCATCAGAAAATCAGAAGGATTTGGGGGTGGAGTATTCAGAACTCACAGGCAAACCCAACATGCCAGTCATCCTGATAACTGGTCGGTGTCAGGTTCCATGGCCCAGGGTCTTTCATGTAGAAAGAGGTGTAGTGGTTGATGCCAACATAATCTATTGAGTCTTTCACCATCCTGGACTCCTCATCACTGAAGGTTGGCATCCTGTCCTTGACGATTTCGAGCATCGAGTATGGGTACCGACCATGGATAATGGGGTCAAGGAACCTTTAAGGAGATCATAGTGTCAGTTTGCTGATCCAAAAAAAAGGGTACTTTCAGACTTTCAGTTTGTGGCTACACTATCACAAAAAATCTAGACTGCTACTAGACCTGAGCATCTGAACTCTGGAGTAAATAATCGATAATTTGATCCTGAACCAGATGGTGTTTTCAGATTTTTACCATCCGAGGTGAAAATCTCTTGCCCTCTGTGCTGCAGCCCTATCAGCATTGCTGTCACTGAATGGTTCATACCAGACAAAATCCAAGAGAATTCCAATCCTCCCCTTTTGATAAAGCTGTTCAATTGGAAGAAATGCATTGCAGACTACATTCTCAGATACAGGGATAGCAAAAGTAACTGAGATAATTTGCATTGCATAGTGTAAATCCAGCCTTGAGCTGAACTGTCATTCTGCTATTTTACCTGATACTTTTCGCGGTATCGCTTGACGGCGGCAGCATGAGAAAGGATGAGATGGTGGGCAGCAAGGTATGGTTCTGTCGTGGAGTTGCCTCCTGCATCACAGCCAGAGCACCTTCCCGGGGCATGGAAGCCATTGTCATATCCTAGAGCAGCAACGCATCTCGGCTCATTGAAGGTAAACCAGTCCTTCACCCTGTCTCCGAACGTCTGGAAGCAGAAATCTGCGTAGTCTGCAAACGCCTCTCTTCACAGTAGAATACACATTTTTTCTTTGGTCAAATATATGCTTCAATCAGCTTACAAATTTTGAAGTTCATAGTTTTCAAGTTGAAATGCTTACACGATGTTTGGGCTTAGCCAGCCTAAGTACTGCTCATGGAGTGCTAATGGTAGGTCATAGTGGTAGAGGTTTGCGTACGGTTTGATGCCTAATTCACCAAGAGAAGGTCAGGACACTGATGCAGAGAACCTTTGTAGTACTGTCTAAGGTAAGCAAGTGTCCTAGGAAAGTTACCTTTCTTAACCATGTAATCTATTAACCTGTTGTAATAATCAACTCCTTCCTGGTTCACCATCCCAGTCCCATCTAAATTTTTATAGAAAACTCCAAATCACAAACTCCACTGATCCAACCAACAACAACAAAAAGAACTGCTGCAGGTACAGACATAATCCACATACTTGGGAAAATTCTTGACCAAGAGATCGAAAATCTATACGCATCAAAGCCCATGTTCTTCATTATGTTCACATCTTCCTACAACCCCAAACAACAACCATCAAGCATCAAAAGAGAAAGAAACACCACAAACCACAACAACGAGAAAACACAATCACCGAATCACACACACATAACACATTACACACCTTGTACCTATGATACTCATCAACCGTCACATCGGCTGTGGCATTATTAGGGATCGTCCCTGTCAGGACACAAGAACACGGTAACAACAATGAGCACCATTTACCATCTCACCTGCACTGAAGTTTAGTACTCTGAATCTCTGATTACTTTTACCTGGTTTCTCTATGAAAGCGTCCCAGATGCTAGGGCCCCGGCCACCCTGCTTCGCCATGCCCTCCACCTGGTACGCCGACGCGGCCGTGCCGAACACGAACCCCTCCGGGAAGGCTCGCCGGCTCAGCCCGCCGGCGTCGTAGATCTCCGGGTTGAGCCAGTAGCATTGTGCCGGTGGCAGCGTCAGCAGCAGATGAGCTGCTGCTGCTAGTGCAAGCCGCAGTGCTGCTATGAATTTCCTCATGTCTGCATTACACACAGAGGGAGCAGGAAGTCTGGAGACAAAAAGGGCTTTGTCTTCCGGTGGCATATAAAAGATGGGAGGAGGTAAAAGAAAACTGAGCGCCTGAGGCTTACCAATTTTTACAGTTACTGATTCAGTTTTTCACCCTGTGTTTATTGGCAGTTTGCTTCTCAAACTAAGCTGGGGGCAGCCTGAATCAGAAGGCCTGAAAATGGAGGGAAGTTGCAACAGATGCGATTCCCAGAATGATAGGAAGGGCCGCACAATTTGTAAGTTTGCCTCAGTTTTCTGTGGAGGTTTCTACGTTCCACATTTCCACTATTGATGTGCCCAACTTTGTTTGTTGTGCTCCCAATCTTATCTTTTAATTCCTTGACGACCTTGATGGACCCCATTCTGTAAATTGATTGAATGAATGAAAGTTTGGAGCCAATGACGCTCACACTGACTGAAGCATCGCTGTGGCTTTACTCCTAGATGAAGTTATTAAAAAACACGGATTTTTAAAAATTAATGAGCAAAGATAAACATATTTTAACTTAAGATAAACTTAAAACACCCGTCCTAAAATATGATCATTTTTAAATAAAACGATACTACTTTAACCGATAATATCTACAAAAGTAATATGTTTTAAGTAAAAAGAGTTATATATTATAATAATTTATTTAATTATAAATCTAGCAACATTAAATTTATATGATTGATTTTTTTTACTTTTTTCTACTAATAGTTAAATTTAAAAAGTTTAACTTCACTCTTCTAAAAATACTTATAATTTGGTACGAAGGGAGTAGTAATTTAAAATGGTGGGAGTGAGTACTTCAGGCTAACCCCAATCGGTGCTAGCTAGGCTGTGTTTAAATTAAAAGTTTGGATCCAAACTTCAGCCCTTTTCCATCACATCAACCTGTCATACACACAATTTTTCAGCCACATTATCCAACCAAACTTTTTAGTCACATCGTCCAACTAAAATCTAAACTTTATGCTGAACTAAACACAGCCCCAGTATAGTGCAGCAAGAGATCTGGACACGCATACATATTGCAAGACTGCAACACGTGAGAAGCCTTTGTCAGTTGTCGCTAGTTCACTGCCAAGATCAGCGCCCACACACACACGGAAAAGCGGGGACTCTTGCGCGCAGCCATCCGGTCCGCGAAACGCGTGCAAGTCTTGCCCTCCTCCTCCTCCTCCTCCTCCTCGTCGCGCCGCGATCCTAATCCTATCCTCCCCCATCATCTTCATCTCCGGCGCTGTTTGTCGCGTACGGCGCAACGGCCGTTCGTTCTTCTCCGCTAGTTTAATCCGCTCCGGCGACGTACGTGCAGCGTGGCGGCTTTTGCCTCTACATCAGCCTCCGCGGAAACGGGCCCCGCGACGGCGTGCGAATTTCTTGTGTAATAACTGCGGGGTTTTGTCGTCTCGACAAATCGACCGCAGCTGATTGATGGCACCGTGCACGTATACGTACTAGTACGTGCCACCACCGTCCACCGACACTTGTGATCATACGGTACACGACAGATTTGTTTCGACGCCCTGCGGCTGCGGATCGCGTCGGGGGCCCGACCCGATGCTACGTGCTCAGACACCGCATGTGTCACGCGGCACGAGGCTTACGTACACACATATACTCGTGGAGTTTTCGGTTACCCATATCCTCTAATAATAAATTATTTATAAAGGTAATTTTTTTAATGTGATCTAACGACTTAAGAGCTCAATGCTTAAAAAAAAATATTTAAAAAAATCTTAAAATAAACTTTAAATTTAAGTTATCTTTGATTTTGATTTATTAGGGTAGCCGATTGAGCTCATGATCTCGTGGCCTAGCCGCCTAGCTCTCGATCCATGCCTCAAGCTCCCTCTCATCTTGGGCCAAACAGCACCACTAAAGAAAAGGCCGATTTTGTTCTGAATGGGACCATTATATGGGCTCGTGCCCAATATTTGCCTCTCACTCTCTGACCGCTTGCATTACTGTGGAGATTATGGGTATTCCATATCTACACGGCGATGGTATTCGAACTGGGTACAGGATACCTAATGTAGATAGAATATCTTATCTGTATCTCGGGTTTGTTTCTTAACTTGTGTATCAAGGAAACACCCTGAGACTTAGTCGGTTACGACTGTATTTTACCTTTATCTTCATATTCCGTTAGGAATATAGATTATCTTTTGTAATCCGGACTCCTTCCAATATATAAGGGGGGTCCGGGCGCCTCTAGGGGCATATGCTGATTTTTCCCGAATCATACAATCAATAATACACTCGGCGGATTCATCCCCGGACAGGAGTAGGGTATTACTTCTTTTATAAGAAGGCCTGAACCTGTATAAATCCTTTGTCTCCAAACCCATACACTTTCCAAGCTTGATAGCCACCCCCTTTTATTATTGCCGAAATCTAGTTTCGACAGTTGGCGCGCCAGGTAGGGGTAGCGTCAAGCTTTTCGCCGATCAGTGCAATGGGTTCCGTCACCGGCATCGACGACCTCGTCTTCCCACCCGGGCAGACGTTTCGGTTCGGCAGCCTCGATTTCGTCACCAACAACTTCGGCAAGATTTCTCTCCTTGACTCGGAATCAGACCAGTCGGGAGAGAATCGACTTCTAGTTCCGTTTGGATTCCCAAACGCGGCAGAAAGTTGCTTCAAGACCATCTCGATCGAGTCAGCTTCAAACCACTCGGCCGAGATCGCATCTACTCCAACAACGCCAGATCAAGACGATGAGCCTTACCCATCAATCTTGATGCAGCTCCCTGACGATTCGGCAGCCGTCTCCACCGCCACGCCGTCTCCATCCCGTAGGCCTAGGCGGAAGTCGGTCTTAACACCGATTTCGCCTAGCTTCAGGGAAGTCGGCGTCATCCTCCAACCACTCGGCACGGTTTCAACGGACCAACTGGATGGCTACTACAGCTCTCCCACCGTCGACTCACGTCCCACCGAAATCGTGGAATACGATGAGTTCGGTTCTCGCTACTACGACGACGCGGATCTTGACGACTTCGACGGAAGCCTAGAAGACAACTACACTCCTCTTTTCTTCGGCGTCTTTATGGCCGACAATGAAACGGAGGAGCAGCGCCAAGCCCGGGAAGCCGAAGCACGTTGCGAGACCGAGCGCCGCCGACTGGAGCAGGAGCGCCAAGCACAAGAGCAAGAGCGACTACGCCGGGAGCAGCAGGAGCATGAGCGGAACGCGAAGGAGGCTGAAGACCGACGGCAGCGAACCTTGGAAGCTGGGCGCCGAGCGCGTGATCTCATCGGCCAGCAAGATGTTGAAGGGATACCGGTTTTCCGTACCCCTCAGCAGAATGCGGTTGCCGCGATCACCCTCCTCGACACCCTCCTCAAGGAAAACGAGCACAACCAATCTGATCATGTCGTCAACATCCTGAACCAGACCAAGACCATGATTGCGGCCTCGGTTCCAGTTAACTCCGAAAGCGTCCACACGCCGACTGGTAGCCGAGTTCCACACTTCCGATCTCAGGACTACCGTCATCCAAGCCTCAGCATCACCGGCGCAGGATCCAATCGCAGGAGCAGGGGTCACGACGAGCGGTCCGCGCACTCGCCTCCCGACTACCGTGGGGAGCGCCGAGTAGAACGGCCACGTTCTCCGCCTCGTCGCCGCCCCATCGATCTTCGCGACACAATCATACAGCGCCGAGCAGCTCGAGGCCGTCACCACTCGCCAGACCGCTACGACGACGACCTTGATGGGGTAGCAGCCTTCACCGACGACCTGCGTCGAGTGGATTGGCCAGCCGGCTTCAAACCGACTGGAATAGAGAAGTACGACGGTACCACTAACCCAGAATCGTGGCTTACCGTCTACGGTCTCGCAATCCGCGCAGCAGGAGGTGACAACAAGGCCATGGCGAACTATTTACCAGTGGCTTTAGCGGATTCCGCCCGATCTTGGCTCCATGGATTGCCCCGTGGTACGATCGGATCTTGGGCCGAATTACGCGACCACTTCATCGCCAACTTCCAAGGCACCTTCGAGCGTCCTGGCACACAATATGATCTTTACAACGTTATCCAGAAATCCGGAGAATCCCTTCGAGAGTATATCCGACGATTTTCTGAACAACGTAACAAGATCTCCGACATCACCGACGACGTCATCATCGCCGCATTCACCAAAGGGATTCGCCACGAAGAATTGGTCGGCAAATTTGGGCGCAAACCTCCCAGAACAGTCAAGCTCATGTTTGAAAAAGCCAACGAGTACGCCAAAGCCGAAGACGCCGTCACCGCATCGAAGCAGTCGGGTCCCAGTTGGAAGCCGAAAAATACGCCGGCTACGGGAGGAAGTGGAAGTAACAATCATAAGGACCGCAAGCGTAAGCCTGAGGAACTTGTTGCAACCGCCGCTCACTCTTCTCGACAGCGTTCGCGCGTCAACACCTTCGACAAGATTATGAACTCCCAATGCCCGCATCATCCAAACTCCAACCACGTGGCCAAAGAGTGCTTCATCTACAAGCAGTTCGCGGAGCAGTACACCAAGTCTACTCGGAAGAACTCCGACGAGGAACAAAGCACGTCAAGGAAGAAGGACGACGGCGACACCCCGGCTGGATTTCAAGACCACCGCAAGGAGCTCAACCATATTTTCGGCGGCCCCATGGCTTATGAGTCTAAACGGAAGCAGAAGTTGACTGAACGGGAGATCAACGCTGTTCAGCCCGACACGCCCCAATATCTTCGATGGTCAGAGATTGCAATCAAGTTTGACCGCTCGGATCATCCTGACCGAGTGGTCCACCCGGGGCGGTACCCCCTGGTACTAGACCCAGTGGTCCGTAATGTCAAGCTTCGCAGAACCCTCATTGATGGTGGCAGTGCACTCAATATCCTCTTCGCCAAGACCTTGGATGATATGCAGATTCCTCGCTCCGAGCTAAAACCAAGCAATGCGCCTTTTCACGGAGTAATCCCAGGACTATCCGCAACTCCACTTGGCCAGATCACCCTCCCAGTCACTTTTGGCACTCGGGAAAATTTCCGTACAGAGAACATCAGCTTTGAAGTCGCCGATTTCGAGAC